TGACTCCCAGCTCGTGGTCAATCAGGTCATAGGAGAATACGAAGCTCGCGAACAGACTATGATTGTCTACTTAGCCAAAGTACAGGAGGCCCTGCTCAACTTGCAGTCATACTTCATCAGGCAAATCCCAAGGTTAGAGAACACTGAGGCCGACGCCCTGTCCCGGTTAGCCAGCACTAGTGATAACACCATGAGGACCATGTACATAGAGGACCTGCCTTGTTCTAGCATTCTCAGGGGGGCAAAGGAGGTCGCTCCCGTCGTTCAAGCAGAGCCGAGCTGGATTGACCCGCTCGTGAGCTTCCTGCTACACGGGACCCTCCCTGCGGACCGCAACGCCTTCAAAAGGGTAGAGCGTCAAACGGCCAAATACGTCATAATAGACGAACGGCTGTACCGAAGATCCAATATACTCCCCTACCTGCGCTGCTTGCGACCTACCAAAGCCGAGCTCTTACTCCATGACACTCATGAGGGCCTGTGCAGCGGAAACTTGGGGGGAAGGCCCTCGCCAAAAAAGCACTACGACAGGGAACTACTGGCCAGCAATGAAAGCAAACGCCATTGAGCTCGTCAGGAAATGTGACAAGTGCCAGAAGCACGCCAACATCCACCATCAGCCCGCTGCCGATCTCAAATATCTCACTAGCCCGTGGCCTTTCGCGCAATGGGGCATCGATATACTTGGACCGTTTCCACCAGCAACAGGCCAGAGGAAGTTCCTAGTGGTCACAGTGGATTATTTCACCAAGTGGGTAGAAGTCAAACCCCTTGTAACAATCACAGCCCAAAACGTTCAAAACTTCTTTTGGAAGAACATAGTGTGCCGCTTCGGGTTACCTCGGGTATTGATTTCTGATAACGGTAAGCAGTTCGAGGACATCAAATTCCAGAACTGGTGCCAAGACAAGGGGATCCGACATAACTTCACTTCGGTCGCGCATCCTCAAGCAAATGGTCAGGCAAAGGTTATGAACAGGGTTATTCTTTGTGAACTCAAAGCGTGCCTAGATCGAGCTAAAGGACTGTGGGCAGACGAGCTACCCAACGTTCTATGGGCTTACCAAACCACAGAGAAGACCGCCAGAGGAGAAACCCCCTTCAACCTCACCTACGGCACCGAAGCAGTCATCCCAGTTGAGATTGAGGTTCCCTCGCTACGACTGGAAGCATATGACGACAAGGCAAATGAAGACGAGTTATGTACCAACCTCGACCTACTCGACGAAGCAAGGGACCTTGCATATATCAGGACCACAACTTATCAACAAAGAGTAGCTCGGTACTATAACGCCAGGGTCAAGAAGCGGAACCTCCGCGTTGGTGACCTGGTCCTTCGAAAAGTTATGGTACCTGAGCTCGGCGTTGGTAAGCTCGGACCGAATTGGAAAGGACCTTATCGGGTGAAACAATTTCTCGGGAAAGGAACATACGAGTTCAAAACCCTTGAAGGGAAACAAATACCTCGGGCATGGAATATTGTCAACTTAAGGCAATAATACCTATAACTACTGAGTAGACCATGAGTCACTCCCAGAGCCTAAGGGACGAAATGTCGAGCTAACATGACCTCGGTGCAATAAGACCCAGTCGCCTCTATGGCACGGGCAAACTATTGAGTAGACCATGAGTCACTCTCAGAGCCTAAGGGCCGAAATGCCGAGCTAACACGACCTCAGCGCAACAAGACCCAGTCGCCTCCATGGCATGGGCAAACTTCAAGGGTAGACTATAAGTCACCCCCTCAGCCTAAGGGCTAAAATACCGAGCTAACTGAGACCTTGGCATCAAGAAAGACTTAGCCACTTCGGCAGTGAAGGCAAAGTATAAAATATCAGAGGCGTAAGCAGCTCGGGTTTAAACCCACAAAGCATAGTTCGTCTCAATACGTTGGTTGAACTAAGGAATAACCAACGAATGCATAGTTCGGGCACACATGGTAATCACTTCGCGGTACACCATAGAGATGCTTTAAACGTTAAAGGACAGCTCGGGCACGTAGCTCTGAAAGCTCAAGTGACGAGATCGCTTTAGCAAAAATAAAGGGAGCACACCATACTTAGAAGAAAAAAGGAAGGAATTTCATTACCATTTCAAAAAAAAAAAAAACCGAGCTAAACAGCTCGAGAAAGTTTAACAAAAGGTAAAAAGGGCACAACCGCCCAACAAGATCTTTTCAAGACTGGGTTTTTGGCACTCGGGAGCCACCAGAAATCAGAGCAGAAAACCAACGCTGCCAGCCTCAGGGGCCCACCTCGTCCTCATCCTCCGGGGAGTCAGGCTCTTCCTCCTCCGCCTGGTCCACCGTCTCGGGAGACAGTACTCATAACACAAAGATATGGTCCCAACCATGTTTCGAATAGCATTGGGATGAAGCTGATTGATGGTGACATTAAAATGGTTTAGCACCTCCACTATTAAGGGGTGCAGGGGAGACGCAGGCCAGCCTCGAGCTGTTCCTGGAAGATAACTATATCGTTGGGACCGTGTTCCCAAGAGAAGTTACCAGTGGGGAGGCTATAGACAAGGTCCCCAGGAAGGTGAAAATAGTGGATCAAAGACCTGAGCCTCTCCGCCGTCATGGAGGAAGGGCCGAAAGTGTCAGGCTCCCTCCCTCGGGAAGTAAATGCCACATCACCGGAGGTCTCCCGAGCCTCCGGGACCTGCTCCCAAGCTCCCCCTGAGCACAAGGGAGTCTCATCGTCCTAGTTACTGCCCCGGTAGTAGGTATGGTATGGGTACCAAGACATGATTGACAGTGATTGGGACTCACCGGAAGAGACGAAACGAAGTAAACTGAGGAACCCGGGTAGACTAGATGGGTGCACGACCTCAGAATCTGAAGGCAGCAAGATGGCATGAAAGGAAATGAGGCCCAGGGGGTCCTCCTATTTATAGTCTTTGTGCTTCCGAATCAACAGCCTAGATCAAAGCAGATATGACGGTTTGCAGTCGAGCTGACCGCACGCCTTCTAAAACCGAAATGTGACTAGCTACACGTATCCCATGATTGAGGTAATGACGGTTGCACGACATCAGGAGTTAAGAGCCGCTTCAGCGCGTTATTCGGTATTCAAAAAGTCAGAAAATCCTTTGATTCCCACGCACGCATTTAATATGAGCAGTCAATCAAGTTTGAATTTCGGTCAAATCAATCTGTCACACTTCATGAACTCCTTGCACTAAGGCAACACTCTTAGTTCGAGGAGTGGGGGGGCAATTTATGAAAGATGATTTGACCCGACCTATTGAGATGATGACACGTGGACCTGATTCAGCACGAGCAACAGCTCAGCACCATGGCTTGACCGTGACCAAGTACGAGCCTGTAGAACAACTCACTACGTCATAACTCTCTATAGGGGGAATACTCCAAGATTATTGAGAAGGGAATACTCCAAGATTATTTCAGCTTGCGAGCTAGGGAAACCAGCTCGCTCCAACACCTGAGCAGGAGAACTGCCCCAAAGACCAACCTTGACGAGGGTCACCTCGAAGTACCCCTAAGAGCTTGCTACAAAGTAGCTCGCGGCATGGATAGCTCACTACGAAGTAACTTACGAACGAGTGATGTGACGCTCTCAGAAAGCTTCCATCTGACAAGATCGTACCGGTCAGACTGCACTATGTCTCTCGACTGGCGGCGCAATCGTTGTCCTTTCTACAGTCTGCACCCACATCTGATAGAGGCATGCCTGCCCCTTTGGGACGTGTCACTCAGCCAAGCGGATAGTACACTATAATGATCACCTGCACAGACCTGGAAGGTAATGGCTGCGACAGGAGCTCAGTGGCGGTTAGGCCTGATTTGATAAGAATGCCCCTATAAAATCCTTTTTGGCGAAGGGGAGAGATACATTCACTCACTATGAACTTGGATTATCTTACTTACTCACGAGTTAACCTCGGGAGCACAGTGATCTAGGGCGACCTACACTCTTAGCTTTTTATACTTTTTCCTTCCTCCCCAGCGTTCTAACTTAAGCTTCGGAGTATTCTCGCCGGGCAAATCCTCAGGAATCCTTCTTCTTCGTCTTCTCAGGTGCCATCTGTTGCCAACAAGGAGCCAGTCAGCAGCTAGCTAGGAGTGTCCGGATCGTGCCACATCAGTGACCAAGAAAAGTTAGAGAAAATATGTCAATTTCAGGTTTAAGGTTCAAACAGTTGATTGAGGGTAGTGCTTAATTTTTTCTAGGTAGATTTTATATTGATCTTGAGATTGATAGTCATTTGAGGTGTTTTAGAATCCCTTAGAGATAACATCTATCAGTTTTAGACTTCCTCTAGGGATGACTCTAGGGTTTTCTCTGGGAATTCTTTTCTTGAACAATTTGGTGGATCTTTTTTGTTTTGGGATTTGACATTTCTTGGAGGGGTTATCCTATGTAGAAAGGAGGAGAATTGCTAAGTTTCTCTTGATTTGTGAATCAAATAGGGTTTTTTAACATGGACACAACTAGGAATGAATCCAAATCACATTGGGAAGGACTTGTGGGGATTGGAAGTGTTGTTGATAGCAATTCTTTTTAGATTATCATAGTGAAATTTGATGGAACAAATTATTTGGAATGGGATTAATTGGCTATTGGAGGAAGAGGATTAAAGAACATGGTAAGTGCATTGACCCATCTCCTAGGTGGGTAAATAACTTTCCCATCTGAGGGAAAAGTTGTCAACACTTGAATGGGACAAAAATGCCCCTTTTAATAATAGATTTTTATGGTTAAAATGATCATTGCCTTATTTACCTGGGAAATAAAAGAACATTGTAAATGCACTTAACCGGGTAAGTAATTGTATTTACCCAGGTAAGTAACTTATCGAAAAGTGAACGGGCCATAGTGCATCCTTTTGATAAACAAATGCGGATTGTGGTGCGTGAAGTAGAAAGTTACCAACTTGTTCAATATGGAAATTCATCCTGTTTTTAATATGAAGAAGATCATTGTTAATTTGCCATATGATATACTCAGAATGCATGGTGCAGTTACACAGAGATCTGATGTAAAGAGTACAAGAGACCACCTTTCTGAGTACACAATAGAACAATTTCACACATACCATCATCATAAAACATCACCACTGGATATTCAGAAAGCTTAAAGCATTTATGGATCAATGTTGACACATTAATCTCTTTTTCTAACTATATGCTTTGGGAGATATACAGAGGAAGCTGTGAAGGGTGGTGGAGGAGCGTTTCTTCCTTGAGGAAAAAAAATCTCCCACAAGAGGAATTATGGGCTTCTTCTTCATCAGCTTTCTTTGCTCCTTGCTGTTTACAAAGTAACCTTCTTTGTCTCCAAGACTCAGTATCTGAGCTAGAGACTGCGAGTTCTCCTTCCTCACCTTTGAGTCCTTTGTTATCTCCTCCTTAGCTTTTCCATCCTGTGGATAACCTCCCTCAACAACTACAACTCTTCTTGGTACAGCTTTCGCTGCAGCTGCTGCTGCTGCCTCGGCCTCAGCCATCTTAGACATGTTCTTGTGAAGTTGTGCATTTAGGGAAGCCAGCGCTATCTCTGTCTCTGATTCCTTTTCCTTTAGTAGCTTCAGTTCCCGCTTTGTGTCCTCTAGCTCGGCTTCTAGTTTCTTCAATAAGTCTCCCAAAGAAAGCTCATCAGCTTTAGCAATAAGCTTGTGGTTGGAGAATGGCTGTGGAGTAGTTGGGGACATCTGCTGAAATGAGGTTTGTATTATTGCTTGTCGTTTGGGACTGGTGCAAGGCTTTTGAGAGTAGATGTCACTGCCTAAAAGCCTCTCGCCGAAGATTGAGATGGCCTCCTTGACTGAACGGAAAGGGCGAGAAGTATCGACGCTGTAGTGATTGTTTGTGAATTTCTGCTCATCACAGAGAGGGAGATGGGTTTCCATCACTGGCTTGAATGTGGGTACAAGGAGAGTGCAAATGAGAACAGAAGGAGAAGAGCAGGGAATATTAATTTGATGATGGTTGTCTCTGGTTTTCTTTGCTTGCACTTCACAGCCACAGGATTTGGAGTGTGGGAGAGAGATAAGAAGGTAGAAACTCTTGTTTGAAGGTGAAGAAAGGCCATGACATCAATGGTTGGAGTTGTTATAACAAGACCCACTCACCTAAGTGGGTCCGGTTAGGGGTGCCAATTGGACTGGATTTGGTACAATCCGATTCTATCTAATGTGAATCCATTACAAATAGATCAGATCCAATCCAATCCTATGAATAATTTGGATCATTTTGAGCCTATCCAGTTCAATGTCTATACCGTCTAATTTGTTCAAATTTATTTTAATTTAGATTGGTTTCAATCCAAATCCAGTCCATTGACACCTATATTCTTATCTTATATCAATGGATCGGATATTAACTTAATCCAGTGGAATCTAATATAAATTTATTACCAGTGGATCAGCTTCAGTCCAATCTAATAAATATTTTGAATCAAATTGGTCCAATCCAACTTGTCTTGTTAATCCGTCCAATCCATCCAAATTGATTTTGTACTGAACGGTCCATTGACACCCTTAAGTCGGATGTAATGAGAACATGGAATTATTTGGTTTCTGTTTTTCCAGAGTTCTGCCATCGCAGTGGTGAGGGGCAATAAGAGGTTTGTACTGTCCTTGTGACAGTGGGTCCGGTTAACCGGTGAATCTGCATTGACCCGACTCTATTGGGTTAGTGTTGGGTCAGTCTGAATCGGGTTTTGGGTCAGACTCCGTTGAGGCAACCTGTGGCAAACCCGACCTATTAAGTATTAATGTTGTAACATTTTGATCATGTTTATATATAACCTTAGACGACCTTGGTTGAGTACAGGTGTCAGATTGGGTTTGGTCTCCCATTTCATTTAATTGAGTTTGGTCCAGGGTGTGACCTTGGGCCAGGTAGGGTACCTTTGAAATCTCTAACTTCAACCCAATGTTGTCAGAGTCGAACCTGGTATATAGAACCATTTTGGTGACTGGGTTATAGGTTGAACGGTTCTACTGCCTGGTTCAAGTGTTCAACTATTAGATTCATTCAAATAAACAATGTTGGCCGGGGCATAAAGTGGGCATGAAATATGAAAAAAGAAAAATAAAGTAAAACAAAAAGACAGCTTTAAAGCATGATCACATGTATGGGTAATTATGTTTAGTATATACTAGTCAGACCCGTGCAATGCACGGGCTTTAATTATAAGTAAAATTTAGGAGGGTGTTTCTATTACATTTTCAAATAAACAGTATTCATCTGAGTCCAACTCAAGTATTATTTTTTGGATTATGTCTAGTTTATCCGATTACAATTTAAGTTATGTTTTAGTGAGAGTGGCCACTTTCCTATGCTTTAGATAAATTTGCATTGCTTTTGTATCTTAATGTTGATTTTTTATTAAATTTTATTGGTTTGTTATGTTTTTTCATATTATTTTTAATTAAAATTATAAAAAACTTCTCTTATATCTATAAACCACCTTTATGTTTTGATCCTAACAAAGGCCTCCCCTATAGATTTTAGAAAAAAAGTGCAAATACCTCCTTTCCTTGGATTTTCAGTATCAAAAGTCAATGAGGTTTTTATAATTTTCCCTATTTTTAAATAGACTTTAAATTGATTTTAAATTAATTAAATTATATTTAAAATTAATTATTTTTATGAATTTTTGTTTTTATTTATCCTTATAAAATTTAATTAACTATGTTAATTTTAAATTGTTCTTATTTTTCAATCCATCTTATTCCTTTTTATTAATTAAATTATTTTTTATCATATTAATAAAAATATTTTTATCAATAACAATAATTAATAATTATTTTTATTTTATTTAAGTAACTTACTAAATTATTTTTACTATGGCTCATTAACTTTTATTGTTTTTAAATGGAACATAAATGGTTTATAACTTTTATGATGTTTTATTTAACGTTTTCAACAAGTCGACTTAGATAGTTAAACCATTCAAACCATCACTCGACCCTATTGTAATTACGGGTTTCCTAAAAACTACCCTATTCGACATGTGTGGTTGAACCATTGACCCTTTTGACCGGGTCATTGGATTACTGGTTATAGTATACAATGTATTGAAAAATTCTAGAGGATTTAACTTTCAGTTGTCTAATTGGCAATGATCTTTTTTTTATCTTGGATAACTCTGCACGACCTTTGCAACCCCACTATACAAAAAAACCTGAATTTTTGGCCTTAAATTTCAATTTTCAGCTCTTATATTTATAAAAAAAAAAACATATATTCTACATATATAAATGGATGATGTGTCATGATTAGACTCGTCCAACTTGAATAGTTGAACCATTGACCTAAGACCTGAGGTAAAAACTATTCAAGCTCCAAGTCAATTTTTAAAACATTGGTTTTATTTGTTGGGTGAAGTGAACAAAATTTATTTCGATATGCAAATTACTTGATTAATTAACTTAAAAATTAACCTTTTTTTAAATGGAAGTAGATGTTTAGCACAACAATATATCATTGAATATCTCCATTTCAATAAAGTTGATCTTTATTAATAACTACAATTTAATGTAAATACATCTAAATTCTAATGTATATAAAATTATAGTTAAATTGAAATGGATATAGACATAGATAAAGTTAATGAATTTCAAGCAATTTAATGAAGTGGTAGAGAGAAGAGAGAATTAGTGGCATGAGTTATTGAAGGAGAGAGTTAATGAAATAATTATTGAGGATAGATAATTAAAAGAGTTAATGGTGAGTTAATGAGGAGAGTTAAAAGTCTTAAAGGTGATTGGCCACTTGAGTTATTTTGTTCAATTTTAAAATTAGAAAAATTCAAAAATACCAAAAAAATGACAAGTGTCTTCGAAAAGAAACCAAAAAGCAGGCTTGGTACATTCCATTTTAATATATAGATATAGATTTGAAGGGTGGAGCAATTATTGGGGCACATATCCCTACTTGTTGCTTTGTGTTATTTATATATTTATTTTTAGGGAAATTGTCCAAAATCCACTATCACTTTTTATGAATTCTCTTAAATTCACCATAACTTTTCAAAACGTCCAAAATTCACCATGTCAGTGAAATTTTATTTTCTAAAGCTCACCATCCGTTAGAACACCGTTAAAATTCAATGACCCAAGTTGTCCACGTCAACCTAAATGCATATTTCATGACTAAACTGCCCCTGAATGGTGAGTCAGCCTGTTAACATCAACACCATCAACAAGGTTGGCAAGTGAAAATGCTCCGATCAACAAGAATGCGGTCAGTCCGTCGTGCACATTAGCGATGGTCGCTGCATGAGTGAGCTTCATCCCAAGATCATCCGTTAAAATTAAAATGTCATCAACATACCCACCCCCCACGAACTGATCCAGCTTCGAGTTGATAACTAATCCTATCATGTAGAATAGATCATCACTTCTGGGGACGCACTATCAACAATAATGATAAGAATTCGCTTCATGCAAATAAAACTATAATTTCAAGAAAATAAGGAACAACCTTGGATGAAGAATCGATTTCTCGGTCCACTGTAACGGTACTGGATCCATCTCTTAACTTATTTGTTGTTGCTTCTGGTTGGTTGCCGTTCATCTCTCTATCTCTGAAATACGATCGGATGGATGGGTGGAAGTAGAGAGCACAATGAGTGAGCTCTGGAAACGTTTTTTCTTTTCCCAGAGAACACAGTAATAAAATGAAATGGGTAACCGGAGGAATTAAGAAGAAAGAAACCCCATAACGGAAATTGATGGAGAAAAGAATTTAGAAGAAAAGATGGGAATGAAATGATCGATGTTTATGGGTCTACTGGTATCGGATTTTTATAGCTCATCATCATCTACCGCGTAAGGAAGATTTCCGCCTATTTTCCTGTAAGTTTCTTTTCATTTTACAAACTTCAAATGAAGATTGTCGTCGCCCATCGTTACTGTGGTGGCAGGGCTCAAGGTTCAAACGAAGAACTCGCTGTGCCTACTCCATGAAATTCCCATCTCCGTCTTGGCCGGGGTTTGAGTGGTTGAAAGCACATGGTTGAAACCTACACTTTGTTCAAACATTTTATTTGTGTATGCCTTGGCTAGCTGCCATGGACTGTTAACTTTTAGTCGTCAGAAGAGTTTCTGTGCAGTTGCTAGACGAAGCTATGCTCTCTCTCTCTCTCTCTCAATCTTATCTTTAACCATCCTCTTTCCAGCTTCGGGTGTTTCCTCCAAGGTTCTTTCCTCCTTCCTCTCCCTTGGGAAAAGAAGATGAACTCTATCTTTGTGTCCAAGACTGAGAATGAGAGTAGATGAGTTTTAGTAGAGTCCCCACACCAGTAGAAAAGGGAAAAAGAGAATTCCCTTGTTTGGAGATATGAACGGTGGTGGTGGTAACCGGAGTGGCTGGATTGAAGCTTCTTTGATGAGGAACGATTGAGGGTATTGCGAAAGAATTTCCACCGAAACTCCTCCTGACTCCACAGTTGCTTTCCTGGGTCCTTGAGTTAGGGTTGGCTCTATTTGAAATGGGAGAAGGAGACCTGTTTGAAGATATCACCATAGTTTCAAAACTTGTAACGCTGCACATGGAAAGAAAGAAAGAGAGAGAGAGAGAGAAAGAGGGAAATAATGTTGGCATTAAACTAGGAAGGGTAAACTAGTAAATTAACAATGCCCCTTAGTCAAGTTACCGTTATATCACTGACATGGTGAGTTTTGGATGTTTTGAAAAGTTATGATGAGTTTAAGAGAATTCATAAAAAGTGATGGTGGATTTTGGACAATTTCCCTTATTTTTATTTTGTTTTTGAGTGCTATCTACCATGGGACATTATAGCTGTGCATTGGAAATATTTCTCTTATCATTCACGGGGAGATGTTCCTAATACACCCAAAGATGTTATATGGGTAACAATGTGGAAACAATTAGTGGGTAGCAGATCTAGAGTGCTTTGTGGGAACAATTTGATGTTACATGGGTAACAATGTGGAAACAATTAGTGGG